TGAGGAAAGTAGACAAAGCGCTCTTCAGTCAACAAGTTCTCGTTTCTCATAATAGCAGTGTGTTTCCCCTTCTCTGAATAATATGAGATATGAGTATTCCAGAAAAAAAAGCTTAATTTAAGTTTTATTCATTTTGTCTTTTGGGAGTATACTTAAATGCATAGAAATTAGATGATTTGAAGTTTTTATTTTAATCTTGCAATCATGGTTTGCTGAAAGGAACTTCTTCTTTTACACTTTTAAGATCAAGACTCGATTTTAGAGAAAAATGAAGATAATTTAAGTCAACAAAGCACAAGGGCAGGATCAGTCTATATTGTTTCCCATAGTAAAAGTAGCAAGTAACACAGTTCCTGGCAAATGATAAGCAGTCAGTAAACAACTTTTATTGGATAAATTAATGAAAATGTGAATTTGAAACAAAGATAGGGATTCTTTACAAATATTTTAATGATTGCTTTTGTTGTGGTGTTCGGGGTGGTAGGCCAATGAGGTGATAAACCAAACAAAACCAAACACATTGCTGTCGAGTCGATTCTGACTCACTGCAATCCTATAGGGCACAGTAGAACTGCTCCATAGGGTCTCCAAAGAGCAGCTGGTGGATTCGAACTGCCAGCTTTTTGGTTAGCAGCCTGAACTCTTAACGCTGGGCCACCAGGGTTCCAGTGAGGTGATGTGGGTCCTGAATTCAGTAGCTGATTTGAAATTTGATTCACCTCTCCACTTCACAACTCTAGAAAATTGTTTATGTCAATTTTACTTTTCCTAGAGAAGTAATATAGTTCTAGTATTTAAAATGGAGCCCTGGTGTCACAGTTGTAAAGAGCTAGGCTGCTAACCCAAAATTGGGCAGTTCGAATCCACCAGTCTCTCCTTGGAAACCCTATGGAGCAGTTCTAGTCTGTCTTATAGGGTCGCTATGAGTCAGAATCCACTGGATGGCAAGGGGTTTGGGTGTTTTTTTTTTTTTTTTTTTGGTATTATTTAAAATACATGTATTTCATATTATTTAAAAAAAGAATTATAAGAACTTCTCATAATTCAAAAGAGATTTAAAAAATTAAAATTAGCCTGAAAAATGTATTTTTCAAAATTGTCTCACGGTAATTGTACATACTTTAATACCTGTAGCTATGACCTATGCTACTTAATGACTCTCTGCGATCAGGATGCTTCATGCATGACATTAGGGGAACAGATGTGCTGCTTAGGGTCACTGTCTTGTCTTAACAAAGCCAGGAATACTGACAGGAGCAGTTGATCCTTCAAGAAGAAACTAGAGCTCCTGATTAAAAAAAAGAATCACTGAAATGTTTGTTGCAAATGGTTCTGTTCCATCATAGCTGGAAGAATTTTTTAGACAAAACATTAAATTAGGAGTCAATTAACAAAGTCAAAACAGTTGGATCACCTTTACTCCTTGTTTTTAAGTGTAATTTGGAATGGCTGAGGGGCTGCAAGTAGAATGTGGGTCCTCAGAACTCTAAACATCTCTACTCTGTGTAACAATTAGGTGGCTCTTGAAAATCTAGAGCGCAAGCAGCCGTCTCCTGAAAAGGCTCTCTTAAGAAAGAAGAAGTTTAGAACATGAATCTTGAGGAACAAGGGAAAATATTTTTAAGACGGAATAATTTCAGGGGAGGGGAAAGTATGGGTTTTCACATACCAGTGACTTTAGGATGGAACTGATATAGGTTGATATAGCATGATGTGTGTGTGTGTGTGTGTGTGTGTGTGAGCCACATCAATTTAAAAAATGGCAAATTCTTTCTCTACTTTCTTGGTCACTATTAGGAAAAGAAAGAAAAAGAAAAACTCACAAAAGTCTAGAATAGGCAAATATATAGAGACCAAAGTCTATTAGTGGTTACCAAGGTTGGGAGGGAGGGGGAAAGCTCAGTCCTTGGGGGGCACCAAGATTCCGTTAAGGGTGATGAAAAATTCTGGAAATGGACAGCGGTAATAGTTGCACAGCATGGTGAAAGTAATTAATGTCACTGAATTGTACATGTAAAAAATGTTGAAATGGCAAATATATGTACATACGTGCATGCATATATATGTATATATATAGTCACCACAATAAAGAAATAAATTAATTTTTAAGTGATCATAAGAAAACTCCACAAAGGTTAAATACACTTAAAAAAAGTAACTGCCAAAATTAAATAGAGCAACCACTGCTATCTCTATTTTTGGAAAATGGATTTTTGTGAAACAAGAGTAGAAGTCAGGTCAAGGTATAATGTATAGTATGCTTTTGAAAATGTTGTTCAACTACATTTTAAGAAGAAAAATCTGAGGCAGGGTAAATATACCCACTACTCTTTTTAATGAAATCCTTCTCGCCTTTCTAAAATACTTCTCCTTTTATGTAGCAGAAAACATTCTAGCTTACTATAGCTATAATTAAAAAAAAAAAAAAAACTTTGGGATCATCTAATTAAATAGGAGAGCATTTAAATTCTTTAAGAGCTAAACACCTGTAGAAAAATCTACTTTTAACTTGTAAGAATGTCTTTTTAATAAAATACAGGAACGATAAATGTGTGATCTTCTAAAGTGACATGAACATAACACTCCTGGCCTAGACAATAGGCTGGTAGGTTATAAAACCGGATGAAAAGAACTGCATAGGTGGTAGTTCTTTAAAACCCCTGCTTCCAATCTGTTAGAGATCAAATCCAGAGAATCACCAGTAGATTTGTAGAAAATCTAAATTCATAGATTCAGAGCTCCCAAATAAAGAGCTTTATTGATTGAACTACACAGGAATGTAGATAACTTGGATAAACTATCCCACGCAAGGAAAATGTGCTGTTGGAAACGCACTGATATTAGCTGTCTTCAGTGCTTTGCTGGGACTATCAACAACATATCTGTGTAGGCTGTGTTGCAAAGTTCAGATTTTTATATTGCGGTGTTGGATCTACATTGCAGATAAAAGTCTGGCAATGTGAGAAAAAGCAAGGAAAAGAGGCACTTTATTACAGTATAGAACTTCTTGGCCTAGAAAGTCTATGGTTTTTAGGTTTTTATATATAGGTGGCAAGATTTTTCGTGTTTTGGTATTCCCAATTCTACGTCAATGGTGCTCCCCGGAAATATGAAACCTAGTTGTTTCGTCTAGGACAGGAATTCTTAATTCTTTAGAGGTTATGAACTCTTTTGAGTTTGATGAAAGCTATAGATCCTTTCCCTAGAAAAATATTTTATTTGATTTTCACAATAATCCTAGGGGTGAAAGGATTGTGGGTGAGATCTATTCCAACTCATAGCGACCCTACAGGACAGAGTAGAACTGTCCCACAGGGTTTCCAAGGACTTGAACTGCCGACCTTTTGGTTAGCAGCATAGCTTTTAACCACTGCACCACCAGGGCTCCTGCTTTGATACCAGAGTCCTTCAAATTCCTCAACATGATGAACTGAGCCCTTTCAGAGATGGTACTGGTCTACTTTGCCAGCCTCTTCTCTTGTTCCTTCTCCCATGCATCCTAAGTGGAAGTCACACTAAACTACTTATATTTACTCCAGAGTATCACACTGACCTTTGAGCACCCTGTTCCTGCCCCCTGAGAATCCCTTTTCCTGTCACCTCCCTAGTTAATTGGAAACCCTGGTGACATAGTGGTTAAGTGCTATGGCTGCTAACCAAAAGGTCGGCAGTTCAAATCTACCAGGTGTTCCTTGGAGACTATATGGGCCAGTTCTACTCTGTCCTATAGGGTCGCTATGAGTCAGAATTGACTCGACGGCAGTGGGATTTTTTTATGGGCATGGCTAATTAATGTCTAGTGGTACTTGAAGACTCAGCTCAAATGTTACCTTTTCTGGGGAGACTTTCCTGCCCTCTGCCCCTGCTGTCCCACCCTCTTAGGTGCTCTTCTAGTATTCTGTCATTATGCTGTCCCTATACCTTTGTCGTAATTCCATTTATCAAGCTGTGCCGTGGTGAATGTTTACTTGTCTGGTTTTTACGCTATGATGTGAACATTTTAAGGGCAGATGTTCTGTGTGTGTGTGTGTGTGTGGGCACATGAAAATCTGGCTGAAGTGTGTCGGGTGGCTCCAGTTACTTCTTCTCTTCATCATATATACTCTTCTGTATCATGTGTGAGGATATATATTTTTTTTCTTAAAGAACTCTATCACATGCAATATTAATAGGGCCATATGCTACCCTTCTCTCAGCAGCATGAATCACACTGTTAACAGTGCAAAATGTAGGCTTGTTTCAAAAGGAGAATGTGACCCGATGTCTCTGAACACAAAGTCATGTTTTACTAGTTGATCGTTTTTTGGTAATAGATTCCTATGTATTTTCTTGGGGTCTTAGGAGGAAAAATACCTATGCTAAAACATTTTTTAAAACTACAAATCTCAAAATCATTTATAACAAAAGCAGTATTTAAATATATTGAGAGTTCCAGTTGTAATTTTTACACACATAAATATATTGGGTCACTAAGTGCAGCCAGGATGCTCCATAGAAGTAAGGATATGGAGACTTCTCCTTCTTACCTTGGACATGTCATCAGGAAAGACCAATGGCTAGAAAAGGAAATCATGTGTAGTAAAGAAGAGGGTCAGCAAAAAAGAGGGCAAACCCGCAGTGAGATGGGTTGACACAATAGCTGCAACAGTGGGCTCAAACGTATCAACAATTGTGAGGATGGCGCAGGACTAGGCAACCTTTTGCTGTTGTACTTAAAATCAGTATGAGTCAGAGCTGACTAGATGCAAGTAATAATAACAAAGTACAAAGTAAACAGAAAGAAGTGCTACAAGTTTGAATAAAGTAGGGATAAAGAAAGGAAAATAGTAATTTTAAAGTAAATTTAAAAGAAGCAAATAAGTCTTTATGAAAGGGAATGAATGGAGTGGGGAGGCAGGGGTCAGTGGAGTTTTTGGATTTTCTTTAGAGTTCAAGATCTCATATTTTACTACAGGTTGAAAATATTACTACTATTTAAATTTCCTCTTTTTCCCCCTTAGGCCAGATTTACAGATGACTGCAAGTTCAGGGAGAGATTTCAAGAAAACAGCTATAATACTTATGCCTCAGCAATACACAGAACTGAAAAAACAGGACGTGAGTGGTATGTGGCTCTGAATAAAAGAGGGAAAGCTAAACGAGGCTGCAGTCCACGGGTCAAACCCCAGCACATCTCTACCCATTTTTTGCCGAGATTCAAGCAGTCGGAGCAGCCAGAACTTTCTTTCACAGTTACTGTTCCTGAAAAGAAAAAGCCACCTAACCTTATCAAGCCAAAGGTTCCCGTTTCTGCACCCAGGAAAAGTCCTAACACAGTGAAATACAGACTCAAATTTCGCTTTGGATAATATTCATCTTGGCCTTGTGAGAAATCCTTCTTTCCCCTCAGGAGTTTGTATAGGTGTCTTCAGAGCCCTGAAGAAAAACTTTTGGACAGAGCCTCAGCTGTACTACACTGTACTGAAGCCAGGTTATTTGTTTCAGTTTGACTGAAGAAAATATGTTTTCAAATAGGAACTGAACTGGAATTCTTTGTACCATTATGGGGTGAACACTGTTTCAATTCAGTAACATGTAAAGCCTTTTGCTTTATGCTTAGGGAATATTTAGAACTCTGTATTTTCAGAACGTCGAATAGCGTGGACTATGTATTTTTTCTGACTTTTACAGATCAACTTGAAAGAACATACATGGTACATTTTTATTTTTGATTTCCAAAGAATATTTTGATGCAGATAAAATATTTTATTAACTTTTGATTTTTTGTTTTTTAAAAAAAGTACCTCTGCATTGAGCATATTTTCTTACTTTTATTATTTTAATTAATGTCATAAGCAATCATTTTAATGTAGTTTTATGAATTATAAATGTGTTTATAGACCATTTGTAACACGTGGATTTCTTTTGCATTTTTATTATTCACCTCACTTTTTATTTTTTAACCATACCTCAGATACTGTAAATTTAGTTCTAAGTCTTAAAATGTTTAAATTCACTTCCCCAGCCACCAAAGGCTCAGCTTGGATTCTTTTCTCTGTGTGTAATTCATGCTATTATGTGGAATCCTACTCCCTTAGATGGCTGGGCTATAATGGTTTGGAAGTGAAGAGAAAATGTAAGGACTGTTTTGATAGAATTGAAAGTTGGAAGTAAGGAAAAGGATTAGAAGTATAAGTACACTAAGTTTGCAACATTTCATTGAGATCTAATTCTGCTTTGCTTCAACTTCTCCTTTTATCTCCCCTCGCCCTCATTCTCAAACAGCTGGAGGATACATTTTATTCTGTCCATAAAACATACACTATGAAACTCGAGTGCTTAAAAATACCTCTTCTATGACCCTTTGCAGTCCCCACTGTATAGATCCACGGGAGCAACACACTTAGAGGAAAAACATGGGGAAGCAAAGGGGATGAATCGTTTAACAGTTATCCAAGGCAAGTCCCATTGTCAAAAATATTCCTCTGACTCAGTTAAATCTCTTCTGAACATCCTATCCTAAAGGTAACTATTCCAGTGAACAGATCTGCCCTTTTGTAAGGAAGCTTTCTGAAGTATTAATAAAAGCTGGCTGAGCATATGGAAAAAAATTTGGGAATTTGGTGAATTGGTACTTAACAATTCTTAATGCTGAATATGGGCATAAATCACAGAAAAAAGCAAATTCACGTAATTTATTTTCTTGGATAATCATCTTTATGGAGTTATCTGGAATATAAGTGCTTGTCATTTTCAGAAATGTGGCAATAAAAAAGGTACAGACAATGTTTAGGAGTAGGTCTTTCAGAGTAAAAGCAAAAGAGTTCATGGAAAGTTTGTGGTTTGTATTTAAGCATGCTTTTTTTTAATTTTAAGGAACAATTGATCTTTTTTTTTTTTCCTGAAAACAAAGTATGGTTTACTTGGGTGCACAAATGCAAAGCGGAAACTTATCAAAATTGAACTTATTACCACTTAAGCAGATTGCTTTGTTTTAGTGGGGAAAACTATATATATCCATTCACTGATTAAAACATTATTATCATAATTTAGTATAGTATTTTATTATAAAGCCAATAATCTGATTAAACATCATTTTCTTTTAATGCGTGATTTTTAAAAAATATAAAATGCAATGCTATTAAAGTTTTCATTAATTTATACATCAAAATGCTCCTCAGTTAATCGAAACAGTGAGATTTTGCAAACAAAGATATGTCCAACTCTCGTCCGGCGAGCATATCACCTTATCTATACATTATAAAGCTAAAAATATTCCTCTAGTTTATTCTAACCTATTGTTAGAATTGTGCACTGTGTATCAAGTTCGTAATACACATAAAAATTTAAAGCTGTAAAATAGGAGACCAGTAAACGTGTGTTGCTAAATGGGCAAAGAAAACATCATATTAATGGTGATTAACAATACAGAAAAATTAATGGCTGTATCTTATTAAGTTAAATGCTGCTAGTAGTTTATATTAGACTGAAAAGTAACAGCTTATCTTGTACCTCTAGTTTGATTTGATTAGCATATGAAGGTTAAAGTAGGATAGCTACAAAATTAAATTATGCAAGTCAGGACTCATTAATTTCAAAATTTAAAGCCAAGCTAAAATAAAAAAAAAACAAACCAAAAAACCAAACTTTAAATTTACACTTATCTTTAATTTACTGATCATACACAATTACATTTAATTAATGCTCAGTGAAGCATAAAGTTACCTAAATGAACTAGTTGAATGAACTCATGTACAGAAAAAATGTATAAATATAATTCATTCCTTACTAATACCTAAAACTTTCTAAGTAGATCCTTGTGCATGTAGTTTTTGATGACTTAAATAACTAGACCCATTGAACATAAAATAAAGTTGTTTAATTTATGATTATGTATGTTCATCTAAAAAATCAATGAATTTTACATTAAAATTTAGAAACCTAATCTTTCTAGAAGATAAATGACAAATACCTTCAGTTTTATTAATTACGTTATGTTTTATTTAAGGTAATTTTTTTGGTGGAACATCTATAGCAGTAAATAGAGGTTTCCAGTAAGAGGTAATAACACTGTGGTTTTAATTTCACAAAATTTATCATTGTGTCCTTCTAAACAAACTAATTTGACAGTGTAAGTATGTATAAATTACCTGAGTTCTTTTAGCTAAGTGTTCAGAATCATGTGACAGTAATAAGGGATGTTGTTGTTGTTGTTAGATGCTGTCAAGTTAGTTCCAACTTACAGCTACCCTATGTACAACAGAACAAAACACTGCCCAGTCCTGCACCATCCTCACAATCATTACTATGTTTGAGCTCATTGTTGCAGCCACTGTGTCAATCCGTCTCGTTAAGATACTGATATAAATTATTGCTAAATTTAACAAGTATATTGTCTTAGATGCTTTTATTTTCTGTAACTGAAAATAAAACACCATAAATCTGGAAGGTAAATTTTCTATGATACTGACTTTGAAATAGAAACGAAATGTTTTTGTGACTATTAACATTTTTTACCCTTTCAAGGAGAGAGACAAAGTCCAAGCCACAACTCCCCTCATTTTCTTTAACAAAATGAAAGTATTGCAATAACCAAAAACCTGAATTCTGGCACCATTTTCACAGCTGCAGCAAATTCCCCATAGGGTTAATTTTTAAAAAATGAAAACAGTATCGCACACATTGCTGCAATGGGAAGCAAATCAAAATAACTTGTCAAAGGCATTCTACTCCCCTTTTAAGATTTACTTCATTGTTACATCTAAATTATGATCAGGTACAATCTTTCTATTTTTTTAAACTAATGATCTTTTAAAAAAGTTTTGAAAGAGACAAATTTTTAGAAAAATGAACATGGTTCATTTATTTTTTGTATAGTAGTCAGTTTAATTTTACTGGCAAGTTTTGAAATAACATTATATGATTAGGTATTCACAGAGAAAAGAGTTTCCTCCTCCAGTTAATCTCTGACCTATTTGAAAGTTGCCTTAGAGAGAAGGGACAAGAACTCAACCTGTGCTGAGTCAGTGGAAGCATTTTTACATCTAAGAATCAGATATAACATTAAATTAGCCAATCAATCTATAAATCATCAATCAGTAGTTAGGTAGTTTTATGTAATCAAAAGAATATTAGATTAGCAATTAAGAGCTTCCTTATATACTTTTTTAGTTTATTAAATTGTTTTTTGTCTTGACTCTGCCTTATAATGATCACAGATCACTCTCTAGGCCTCCATTTTCTCATCTGCATTTGACCATATGATCTCTAATGTATTTTCCACCTTTATATCAGTAACTATAACTCCTTGGTGTTGAGCAGATTCCAACTCATAGTGACCCGATAGGGCAGAGTTGAACTGCCCCATAAGGTTTCCAAGGCTGTAATCTTTAAGAAAGCAGACTGCCACATCTTTCTTCTGTGGAGTGCCTGGTAGGTTCAAATTTCTGACCTTTCAATTAACAGCTGAGCGCTTAACCACTGCACCACCAGGGCTCTATCAATAATTACAGCAGCTTTAAAATATTGTAAGTTCTATGAGGTACCAAAAAAGGGACATGGTTCCTTGTTAGATGGAACTAAAAATCTTCTTTGGGAGACTGGATAACCACATGAAAAAAAATTTCAATGAAGTAATAAATGTAAATCCCTTTTATAGGTCTTATTTTAGATTAAAAAATAACTGAGTAAGTGTGAGATTGGATCAAGTGGTTTAGAAAAGCGGAGATCAATTCTGAGCTCAGCATTTCAGGAGGGACTTTGCAAATCTGAATTCATCCAGAGGGGAATGGTCAGAGCAGTATCTTTGCTGATAATCAATGGGTCAAGGACCTTAATTAAAAATGTAATTATTGAACATCTCTTTTGTGAGGAATCCCACTTCCTCCACGAAGGCTTCCAGAAATCCATGAAGCATTGTAATCTCTTTTTGATATTTCTCCTCTAAATAAGGATAGTTTATGTCATACCTTTCCACCATCATTCCTATACTTTCCCAACGATTCAGTAAGGTTGTTCTGAGGTCTTGCTTCACAGGAGGCGCTTGGCTAGGGAGATATTCTTTTATTTGCTCAATACTTGTTCACTATGTTCCTTGTGGATGTTTACATCAAAGCACTCTCAGATTTTGAACTTCTGGAGGGAAGAAATGTATCTACTGTCATTGCACATTGCCCGACCTCAGGCCAGGCAACTTAAGACATTAATTTTAAGAAATGCTCTTCTTATTGTTGTTGGATGCCACTGAGTTAATTTTGACTCACAGTGACCCCATGTGACAAAGTAGAACTGCCCCATAGGGTTTTCTAGGCTGTAATATTTATGGAAGCTGATTACCAGGTCTTTCTCCCATGGAGCTACTGAGTGGGTTAGGACTGCCAATCTCTTGGTTAGCAGCTGAGTGCTTAACCATGGAGCCACCAGGCCTCCTTAGGAAATGCTGATAGCAATTTCATCCCTATGAGTTAAACACTTTATTGAGGCTATTGGATATTCTAAGGAGCCCTGGTGGTGCAGTAGTTAAGAGCTCAGCTGCTAAACAAAAGGTCGGCGGTTTGAACCCACCTGCTGCTCCAAGGGAGAAAGACGTGGCAGTCTGCTTTCATAAAGATTACAGCCTTGGAAACCCTATGAGGTAGTTCCACTCTGTCCTATAGGGTCGCTAAGAGTTGGAATTGACATAACAGCAACGGGGTTTTGGTTTTATTGGACATTCTACTTATTCACAGAACTTAGTGTGTACTTATATTTATGTAGGTCCCTGGCATATATTAAGAGCTCAAAGATGCTTACAGAATGGATGTGGGTGCTTAATAAAATTTATGATAAAGATGATGATGAGGATTAAGTGAATTCCATGTTAGAGATGGAATGGCCCCATAATAAGAGTAAGAATACTCACAGTCCCTTTCACTGGACTTGAACTCCTCAAACACAAATTTTGAGACAAAACGCAAAATATTAGGCACTTGCAAGCTGAGTTTAGGTATCAATAAATTGGCCATTATATGAAACTTGAATTCCATTG